GTAAAATCTGCAAGATTGCGGGTTATCAAAATATGAAGAAATTAATAAATCAATAATGACACTTTTTTTCTACAACTGCATTTCAAAACTAAAGTCAGCAATTTTTCATTGATCTATTATTTGTGTAACGCTACAATCACTGTAACATTGTCAGCTGACGGCATTGCGTTGAACAGGTATTCCCCGCTGCTGTTGCGATCATCAGTCCCTGACTTTTTTGTTCAAAAATACACAAACTTAGAATGTTTGCTTAATTAAAACGATTCATTGATGATTAACTTAGAAATTACATCAAAATCGCCAACGAAATGTTGTCAGTGTTCTCCACAAATAAAATTTAAAGAGGGGTGCTAATTTCCATATAATTTGCATATCTAATTTACATATAATTAGCATACCAATCAAACATTTCAAAGAAAATTCTTAGCACTTTTATATTTACATCAACCTTAAATACTGTGTACAAGTACTATATTAATGTTCTTGAATTATTTTGATGAATAAATTAAACCACTTGATGTAAAAAATATATCAACTTTGACAAATGAAGAATATCAATTGTATTCTCTGTAATGGAACAAGTTGTGAAATTCTAGCCTTTCATTAATTTCTTTTAAATTTCTTTCAAGTATTTTCATTTTTAAAAGTTTTATAAATGCTCTACCATATTGTAATAGTTGAAAAACCCAAAAAATAAGAAGAAAAATATTTTTACGTAACAAAATTACCATTTAAAAGAAAAAGAAAAAATCAAATCCAATGACTGTAAATAAATTAATTATTATGTTGATTGCATCATGGGTACTGAGGACAAAGGTCAAATCAGATACCGTGTCATCCATGTTGTTTCAGTGTTTACCGTACGTTTTGTTTTGGTAATTTATTTGATGAGTCTTTTTACTTGTTTTGACTCTCCCATTGCGTGATTAACTCAATGCTTGTGACAATCACTTCACGCATCCAGCCATTGTTTTTTGTTTATTTCCCAGACATCCAATTCATTGTCCTAGTTGTCGCCTATGCCACTATCTGTCTCTTCGTTCTTTGTTTTATCTCTTGTCAATTAATAAGAGGTCTCTCAATAACGTCGTCGGGACATCTTCCGGACTCGTGAAACAGCTGTTCACCAAAAACAAAGGAGGGCGCTGAAGATAAATAGAGGGGCGCAAATAAATTAAAGAGGGGCGGTGCGCCCCTCTTAAACCCCTCGTGGAGAACACTGGTTGTTTTTAAACATCGCGGAAAAACATGCACTCTGCACCGCCATCTTTGTTACCTCAATCAAAATCTCCGTTGTAACCCAGCATGCATCGGTTCGATCAATACAGGTTATTGTTTTAAAGATGTGCTAGACGAGGCTGACACTTGTAAACAATACAACGTGAATAAGCATCGCGGGCAGGATTTCAAGGATCGCGGGCGAAACAAAAGCGATGCGACTGTTTGTCTAAGCGACGCGGGCCCGCAGTGCTTGAAAGGCCTGGAGAGAACACTGGGTTTCTAGTACAAGTTGACATTATTGGTAGAATTCAAGCATGAATCTAGTCAAATAGAAACAGCCATCAGAGTTTAAAAATGGTTGTCAATCAACGGTTTATAGGAATTTGAGTGTTCACCCCAAATTGTTAGTTTGATCTTGAGGTTTATTTATCCCAGCATGGGTGTCTAAGACTTTTGTACAAACACTTGACTTATGTCATGGTGGTTACCAAAGTGTGAGTGGCAGAAATAAGATTAGATTGCTTCAATGTTAGCTCTAATCAGTGCAGTTCTTTGGTCAGTTGAAAAGTTATGCATTATCCACTGTTATGTTGGCTTGTTTTGTGGTTTATTTTCTGCTTTTAACTGTTACAGCTAGACCTTACTGTAAAAACATTTATTTTCACTGGCATTTAATATCAATGATGCTAAGAGCAATTTTGCTGGGTTTCACAAACTTGGCAAAGAAACAATGAGTTTTATTGTTATTTTATATTGTTCACATGGATTTAACATGGTGGCTTTTACTCATTGTAAAATAGTGAAAACTGGTGAATAATTAATGTGCTTGCAGTACATACTTAAAATATTTGGTTTGGCACTTTAAAAAAAAAATCAAAGCACACCATGCAAGAAACATGCTAACACCCTTATAGTGCAATTGAAAGGACATTTTTCAAGCCAGGATTATTAGTTAGCATCATGATGCACAACAATTGCAACAGATTTGTGTGTAATAAATATGATGCTTTCAATATATTGAGTGACTTCATTTATGTATTAAGTTGTGCAGTTTGTAATATTAATAAGTTGATAGGATATTCAAATTATATTTTACTAGTATGTTAGATGAATTTCGTCTAATCAGAGTTTTTTTTCAAATTAGTTTTATAGACAAGATCAGATTCTCAACTTTACTATTCCAATAAGTTAAGAAGTACCTTTTTTCAGTGACAACTATACAAATAATGGAAGTTGACATAGTAGTATAAATACTTTAGTCCTCATTTGCCAAGTCGAAGACCCTGAATATATACCTGTAACAAAATGTTTTCCCAGATAATCCCTTGAGATAGCCGTAAATTTTTCAGTACCTGTTCACTATGTTTTGTTTGGTGTTATTTGCTATTGCTATTTGCTCTCCCTTTTATCCACTCAATAGAAAGGGTTTGGCTTTATGTCATCCTAAATCAAATCAAATTAATGGGACTCAATTTTCACTTCATCAACTTTCAAGTTCCTGGTAACTATAGAGTGATAATGTCACATTGTGACTGTTAATTCTGTAAGTTTCAAATGAATTGTCACAATATTAATGTATTGTATCAAGGCAATGTTCTCCCAGATCTGTTGAAACCTGTGAAATGCTTAGTAATTCAACTTTTGAATGTCTTGGCTTTTTGATGCTTTCTTAGTTTCTACTTTATTGCAAGTGCCTGGCACAATTAAAACAACAATAAGACTTGAAAGAGTTACATAATTTTTTTATTCACTATTGTTACCAATGTAATGGTGACCAATGGTCAAACCAACCAAGTCTACAAGGTTCAATTCATGTTTTGTGAACTTAATGCCCCAGTCTGTTCTGGGTCAGTGAACTCTTCTACCTTAGGCCTGTGATAAAAAATAAACAGACTGTAGAATATATGAATGCTAGACGAAACAGAAAGTAACGAAAATAGTAGCAAACTGCATATGTAAACAGACTCAACATCACGACAGTCATAAAAGATTTAATAGTTTTTCCATGATCAGATCACTGCAATATTTGAATCCAATTATCTTTTCTCCTGCAAGATGTTCAGTTGATCACTAATCTTTATTTTAAACAAGCACTTCTGTATTCTTGTATTGATTATTGATTGTTACCCAATAATTGTATCTGTTGTACTATAAAGTATGGATATGACAACATCGGATAAATAAATGAAAGTAAAACTTAAGTGTATTAATGCTAATGTCTGATTTGGAATGGGTTATTATGAGAAACAATGTCTTGTTATCTTACTAAAGAATGTAAATTTTGTTTTTGAAAATGTAAAACATGATACAAATTTTCTTACTATATTTGCTCTGTAAGTGCAATTATACATATGCTGTAATACTGATCAAAATATCTTATTTTAATGTTCCAGTTACAATCGATGCATTTTTTTGTTGATATGCACTTCTATTGGAGATGCCCTTTAATAGAACAAATACAGTGTACAATTTGTCAGTCTTTCAACTGCTCAGTCTGTTTGACCTTGCCAAGATTTAAATGCATGCTGACCTTGTATTTTTATGGTCAAACTGGGAAGTGTTCAATGAAGGGTGCTGTGTTCACTTCCTGTTTTAGCTATACACAGGACAAATTTCCCGCATGAAAATTACATTTATGAAAATTTAATTTCCGAATTGCAACATGCCCATTAGTCCTGTCGACAATACATGCAATTACACGATAATTTCAAAATAAAAAGTTGTACCTACCTGTACCCTACTTTTATTAGCTCCGCTGTCGACTTTGTCGAGCAGAGCTTATCATATGAGTGATTGTCCGTCGTCGTCCATGTCAATGTTTTACTTTTTCGACTTCTTCTTGAAAACTACAAGCCTGAATGCTTTGATACTTGGTGTATATGTACCTTGGGTAGACCTCTCTTAGGTTTGTTCATTTCATGTTGATATCTTCAATTCTCTAATTTTGGTGAATATTTTTGTCATTTTTGGTACAAAGTGATATTTTCGACTTCTTGTTAAAAAATGCAAGTGCAATTGCTTTGATACTACATATATAGGTACCACATGT